CCATAAGAATTACAAGCAGTCTCCTTAGCACATCCTAACTAGATTTCTCCTCTGTTCCACAGTGTTTTATTGCTTGTAGCACCATAAAATACTAGAAGCCTGACTTCATAAAGCATTTGTTCTACTGTTTCAGATTCTGTATGTTTTATTTTTTTCAGATGACCCATCAAGACATCTGATTAGTTTACTATTGTTAAATTAGAAACAGCACGTGATAATAAACATAACATAAATGCTGCTGCAGTAAAATATGGCTTTTTTTTGTGCTCATCAGTAGGGAAGAGGAACCCTCAGACTCATTGCTGATGCCTTCATATCACCCACTCATGAGTGTTTTGAACTAGAGAAAGTTGAAGTCTTAAGTTACTATGATTATGAAATGCATTCTTGCTCTACTTATCCACTGTTAAAGAACATTTAACTATGACATGACTGCAAATCTTCATTCATCATAAAAAGTAAACACAATTATCATGCCTATCCACCTTGTTCAAGTATGTTCATGACTGTAACAATGAATTTATTTCTCAGGTACTAAGTGCTATGTTATTATGCTTATGTCTAGAAATAGTTCCCCATAATTTGCATGAACATTTTTAAATGGAATTTAGATTTAAAAAAAAATAAATCAAACCCCTCTTTTTTCTCTTTCTTCTGTATTGACCAAGCTTCTAATTTTGTGACATGTTCATTTATACTGACATGACTTGTAACAAAACCTTCATTATACAAGACAGCTAGAAACAGAGCTGTCTTTAACAATGAATCAAAAATCTCAATTTTATGATTTGATCAAGTATCTGTTCTGTCAGGCAAGACCAATGTGACAAAAAGATTGAAGAACGGAAACATGAATAGCAAAGCTGTGATGTAAAGCAAGGCATGCATATGCTATAGCTTTATTCAGACTTATGTTTAGACACAAGCAGTTGTTTTTAATGATTTCTAACTTTTAGTTTTTCCTTCAGATGTAATTATCTTTGTAACTAAAATACAAACAGTACAGTATTTTGTTGAAAATAAAGTACTAATGAAAGCATATATACCTTCATATTATTTTCTTATTTAACACATTTCTTGTTCCCACACGTTACAGCATTCCTGTGTAGACAATCAAATCAGAAAAAGGATAGAAAAAATGGCACCCACTGACATTCATCAGTGCTTGCTGAACAACTCTGAAGATCAAACAGCAGATGTGAACGAAGTGCAGTGGTGAGTGGTGTATTTCAGCAGTGGTGACAGCAATGTAAAAGCCAAACCAGGTTCCAGAAAGCCATGCACAACTGTCATGTCACAAAATGAAGAGCATCTTCTCAGCTTATCTGCTTGAATCAGCTAATAGTGGTGCTTATTTTGAAAAATAATGTTTTGTAGCTGACAATCTGCTTTAAGAAACAGTGTTATTCAGCTCTTTGTACCTGTTGGAGTTTCCATGGAAAGAAATAGGAGGCACTACTTTTGGAGCAATATACACACTAGAAATGAAAGTGTGATTTATAAGCATCAGAAATTTTGGAGAGAACTCTTTTTCAATTGAAAAAGAAATTCTGCTATGCCTACATACTCAACATATAGTAAATATTTGTACAGAAATCAGCAACAAATGCTTAAATATATGTTAAAAAATCCATATTCCAGTATTATATTATAAACAAAGTATCAAAATATTATGCCAAAGATATTTCATATTTCAGTGTTTAGCATTCCCTAATTCTGGGGTGGATAAAGGGGCTTCCACATCTTTTTCTGTATCTATATCAAAAAAATAACCTTTAAATAAATGATGCATAGTAAAGAATTTCTACCATGATATCATGTAAAGTTTTCCATAGCTTACAGAAACTTAATTTATAAGAAGCAAGTATTCAGGAAGAATAAACAGGGAGAGGAGGCAAAACTTCTTCCACGGTCTTCCTTCAAATTCTGGAGAAATCTTTCTAATGCTATCCAGGGCAGAACTCAATCAGCACTGCATTCAGGTCAGCCACCCTACTCTGAGCACACTGCATTAAACCCCCTCTTGCATAGGGGGGAAAAAACAGAGTAATGGGCACCACTAAAAATTCACACTATTTTTATGGCAGAAATTAGTAAGAGGGGAGAGGGTATATATTAATACCCTGTGTTAGAGAAGATCTATATAAAACTGCTCAAACATACTGTCCACATTCAAAAAGCAAATTTTCTGAAGTGCAAACTAAACACATCAGTATTATAGAGAATCGAAGATTTATATTTTCCAAAGTTAATGTTATTTTGTGCAAAACCTCAGCTTTTACTTCCAAGTCATATTCATTGTAAAGCTGCTGAATAAATCATGATATATCTTACTTATCTCAACCAAAATAAAAACTGAACTAGTTTTATTTAGCCTTTGCAGAATTTCAATTTAGACTATTCAGCACATTGCTTGGTATTAAAACACTGAGATACATATAACACAATTTTTTTTTTCTAAATTTAACATTTATAATAATTTTATCATTTATATCAATGGGAAAAGTACTGGGCCAAAAAAAGGCTATGACCTTAATGCTTGTAGATTTAACCACCATAATAGTCCAGAAGATTTTTAGATGCTTGTACTAAGGCACAGAATCATTGATAAATCATTGATTATCATTGCTATCATCGATAAACAAAGAATTGATAAATGAGCCTTACCTTTCTTCATAAATTTTATAAAACTGTTGCACACTTCATAGACAAAATAAAAATAAATAATAAAAATAATAATAATAATTAGCATAAGTAAAGAAAAATATTTCCTCCTAACCTCAGGAACAACTACAGAATTCTACAACACACACCAACTTCCTTCAGGCTTACCTGCTCCCAAGTTTCTTAATTAAGGATTGTTCATCCTACACTCCATCCTATAATACTAGAGAGCTATCCCATTATATCTCTTGTAGGAATAAGACACTTGCTTCAATGTGTTATACTTTTTAAGACCAAATTCTAGCAGCTTGATGAAGTACCAGATGGAAATACTGCCAATCTGTTTCAACAGCTTTAGAAACTGCCCATTAATTCCAAAATATAAATTGTTCTGCATTTGTGTGCTATACATGAATGGACTGTAGCATAAAAACAAGCAAATAAACAACAACAAAAACTCAACAACCAACTAAACAATATCAACAACAACAATGAAAAAACAACCTGAAACTCAAGACAAATAAGAATTATAGAATACAATTAGCTACCCTTCATTACTAACAAGTTTGAGTCCAAGTGGTCAGATTTAGGCACTACAACACAATTATAAACTTCAGAGCAGCCCTCACAGACCACTACACTAGTTACGGATCTCTGAAAGAATTACCGGAGTCAGAAGGCATTCATCTTGGCAGTATAGGCAAAACATTCAGGTTTTGTTTTGTGGTAAGCTCTAAATTGATCCCCAATAACACCTTCTGAGTAAACACTAGAAGTTACTAGCGTAAGATTCACTCTGTGACTTTTTTACTATACCATAACTTCCTTCAGCACTTCAAGGAAATTAATGACCATTATATTTCAGTTCTGCAGTTAACACTGTCCTTGATAAGGAATTCTACAGTCTGCTGAGCCAATGTTGTTTTAACAGGTAGAAGTTTGCACTCAGCAAAGGCAAAAGAAAAATCATTCCTGAAATTCAGGGTTGACTAGTAGTTCAAAGCAATTCAATTACTGTAACACAGTAAGTAGGAACTGGAATTACTTTCAAACTAAGCTTATTTAATACACCTAAAAACATCTCCTAGCTATAAGGAGTCACACATATACAATTCTGATAAATACATTTTCTTCTATGAAGATATAGACCATAAAGCTGGTTTTGGCTGTTAAAATTTTGAATTAAATGCAAATGGTAGAAAAAATGTCAGGGTTATTGCACTGAAAGGATCAGTAGATTTGAAAGCCAACTGGCAGCTGTACAAGAGAGCTACACATTAGTGGTTAATTCCAGGGCCAGTTCTATTTAACATCTTTAACAACCTACACAGAAAACACCCTTAGCAAATTTGAGGATAACGGCTTGAGAGAAGCAGTCAGCACCTAAATGAAGAGTTAGGCGACTGTTCAGAAGACCTTGACCACTTTGAGAAATAGGATGGCAGAAACCTCATGAACGTTAATGGAGTTAAGTCCTACATCTCTTGTGATCTCACTGCCCTCTACAGTTACCTTCTCTATACTCGATTGGAAGGTATAAAAAAGAGAGATTCAGACTCTTCGCAGGAGTATGAAGTGAAAGAATAAGGAGCCACAGATATGAATTGCGGAAATTTCAGATTAGATATTAGGAAAAAGAGCCCATAAGCAAACAAGAAATGTAGCACATACCTAGAGAAATTGTGTGATCTCCATCCTTGGAGATACTCAAAACTCAATGGGACACGATTCTTTGCAATCTGATCCAGCCAGGGTGAGATCTAACTTTAAAACTGACCCTGCTCTGAGGAATCCAAAATTTTGGTCTTCCAGTCCAAAATTACTGTAGGTTTCTCCCACCCCTCCCATCCCTGAAAAATGCTTGCAAAAAACAAATGTCTTACATTTATTCTTATGGATATACTCATAATCATGTCTTAAAACAGTGTTACCTGAAAAATGTCCTATTTTCACAGGTGAACTTGCACAATCTTTTCATAAAAAGAAAAATTTTAAATGAACTCTTTCTTCTTAAATTCTTCTTCAGAAAATACTTTCCACAAACACCCCTTCAAAACTTGTTTCAGGTAAATATGTTGAAATAAGCTTAATAAATAATAGCATGAATTATTCATTGGTACAGTATCTGTATTTAAAAATAAATTACATTTGATCCTTTACGAATAAAGCATTTGCCAAATGCTGGTTAGGATGCTCCCTACTATATCAGCATTCAGTATTTTCCTCTGCTGATCCTAAGAAATTTAATTATTGTTAATCTACAACGATCGAATTTTACAGCATTTTCCACACCAGTAAAGCTTCAGACTTCTGAGGAATAATTGACAGGTTCTAACCTCTTGCTTGCAACCCAGGTCCACAAGTCTCATGTGCTCCTGGACTGTCTTGGCGCACATACCATGGTACTAGCTGGCATCTGCGCCACTTGTGGGTCTTCCATCTAAAATAAATGGAAATATAAAAAAGGAAATACAGAGAAGAAATGTTTGGCATGATGCCATGTCATTAAAGCACCTCATCTACCATTCACAAGCAACTTTTCTTCTAATTAGCAAATAATTATGAACTATCCCAGGTAAAATTTGGTACTGAAAATACTAAACAGATGAAGAACAGACAGTATTTTAAAAGATATTACTCTGACTCTGGTACTGACAAGTGAAAGTTTTCAAATTCACTTCTCTGATGTCTGGAATCCTCACTATTCCCATTGTTGTTTCACACATTTTCATATCTTTTAGTTAAATACAGTATTGCCTGCCAATGAATTTGCAGGGACAATTTTTACCAGCAACGTATTGAAATGAAAGCAACATATTTCCTTAATCTCAACCTGTTGGTGCTAAAGTAAAATTAAATTCCATTTGTACCTCTGAAACAAGTTCTTTCATGGAAATTAGCAAGGGCCCTTCTCTATCAGCTTGGAGAAACTAAACACTGGCCACTGAAATTAAAGCATAAAGAATCCTCATCTTTACTACTTTGTCAAGAACATCTAGGCTTTCCTGTGCTATTTATACAGGCACTGCAAAATTGCTCCAGTTTTGTCAAGAAATTATGAACCACCAGCTTTCTCTGGTGAATATTAAGTCAAGATGAGGAATTCTGCATGTTAGAGGACATATCAATCGGCAGATTATCACGGGTTTTAATGGGGAAGGAAAATAAAAAATACAGCCCTGTTGCATGGCAGTACAACTCAGTTCTCCTGAACAGAAGCTGCATTTCACTGGTTCGGACAGTTTAAAGAGGAAGGTTTTTTTATCGTATAGAATTTCAAAATAATTGCCAGGAGAGATTTATCTTGAAATGTACTGTGAAATATAAATGAAATGTAATTCTCATTAGTTGCAGTGTTTTTGCAAATGAACTGAAAAAAAAGAAAAAAAAATATCATTTTCTAAGAAAAAGAAAGAAATAAATAGTGGGCCCTATATTCTGTTTGCCCAACTGGTATCCATTTAAAAATCTTGATTTAACAATGTATCCTAATTTTCATAAGAAGTGGAATTCAACAAAGTTTAGCAGACAGTAAAGGCTGAAAAATCATGCATAAGCTGTAATATGTTGAATAACACTACCTGTAGCTATAGCAGATGGGAGAAGCTTCACATTCCTTTTCCTCAAATAAAGTGTCTGGGCACTCACGACCACCATTAGCAGGGAGCTGGATAATGACTCGGTGACGGGACTGTTTCTTTACTATGACAGCTCCTGAAAAGAACAGCAGAGATTATTTTTCCTGCTATTATACAAGACTGGCAACAGTTAGAGAAAAATAGGTTTTAACATAACAGATATTTGAGTCAATCACTACAATACTGACATACCAGTTTGTCATAAGCAGAAAATTATCCTAACAGATATAACATTTTAATCTGAGCTAAAGACTAAGAAGCAGAGCTAAAAAGAAAGAAACAATAGTAATGATATACAAATGAATATTCTAATCACACTGCTTAAGAGAACAAAACCATCTAACCATCTAAGTTTGCTGATGCACTTCAGTTTTTAAAGCATAAATTTGCTTTAATTGTTGGCATGCAGAACTAGAAACAGAAATTAAAAAGGATAAATTATTATATTTTGTTATTTTTTCACTTACTAACTGATTTAATCAGAAAATCTAATTGTGTTTTTTTTTAATCTCCATAGTCAGAAATATAACAAATTTAATTTAAACTCTTGGTTCTCCCCATGCTGGGCTTTAGTTCTTATGCTCTCATTTTCCACCTGGGACTAGCATTACCCTAGCTAGGTATGTAAAAAATATTTCAAAAGAGTACACATTACATATAAATATGAACTTTCATTTTCCCATTTTATAATAAATTTATGGTTTATAGTTATCAAACATTACAATAACTCACTATTAATGATAAACAGCAAATGATCCCTGTAGGAATTGTTATTTTAATCAGCTTTGGATATCAGAATACAAAGGGAATTCCCTGAAATGTATATTAATTTTATAGTGATATATAATGCACTGATATTATTATGTAAAAATCTTGGGTTTTCTTTTTTCTTTACTTTTTATTTTTTTCTCTGAGAGCTGTAGCACAGACATTTGGCTGACTGGGTTGATACCAGCTTTGGTGAGTTACTATAGCAGCTGCAGTTTGTCTGCACATAGAAGCGTACTGGACCACAGCCAAGCAATCATAATTAGGAGCAAGCAGTAGGAGAACCCCGGCAGTGTTTCTCCATCACTTGGCTGCTTTTCAACACAGAGGAAAATCTCTGGTCCTGAGTCAGCCAGCTCCAGGAGAAGCCAGGGGCTGGCACATGGACAAGACAGACTTGAAGCCCATTGCTGCTGACTGGAGTGATTACACAAATGGGTAAAGCCCATGAAAAATTGTGTAGAAGACTGAAAATATTGTTTGACTCATAGAGTAGACAAAATGCCCATGTTGGTTAAAAAATGCTCTACTTTACATCAGAATGCACCGTAGTTTGTAGTGAATATTCATGAAGATATACACATTCCATAATAAATTTTCTTAAAATCCACAGAAATGAGAACAGGACAGCACTTGTCCAAAACAATCAGCTCCAACAAAAACTTTGTAGAAAGAACAATTAACTCATTAGTATTGCTGTGAAAAAATAAAGTATTTAACAATGAACAAATATTTCATAGATTCAGATTCAATATTATTAATTATTTGTTCTTTGTCAAAGGGTATAAATTTAATCTTTATAACATTTCATTTCTCAGATTGGACTGAGAGGTACTATGAATTACTGTGAAAACCACTTATGCTTCTGTACTTCGTAAAGTATAAAGAACTGAATGTAATACTTGAAATATGTATATTTGATGTCGTACATCTTCTGTCATCGTACATTCTGATAATGTGGTAGCTGTGAGAAATCATCACAACACACAGGGATTAGCACACCATGGAACAAGAGTTATTACAGATTGTGTCTTTAATGGTACATATTAGTAAAATAACTCCTCTTTAACTTAAAAGAGAGAAAGAGATAAGACAGAACAATGCAGGCAATATAAAGCCAGTTATCACTTTGAATACAACTACAGTGTAATAAAAATTCAAGTGAGACCTCCACTGTTGTCAAGGGCTTTGTCAAGTGTATTAAAATGGTATTCCTATGTATGTTTAAATCAGAACACTAACATCAATTAAAAATTAGCCTATTTCTTTTACATTTTCCTTCATTTTTCTTTGGGTGTAAGGACAGGCAAAAGTCAGAGTTTTGAAAAATTATATGCATATGCATCTTGGGATATACAGTTTCAGGTTTTCTGATGAGCAAGCAGCACATGTAATTTCAAAGACAAAATCCAAGTCTTTTATAATACATTCAAATACATTCAAATATAATTCTGCAGTTATAGAAGTATCTCTGTTGGTGATATACAGAGAAAGCTGTTTACTGTCTGACTATTTATCAAGTGAAAATGTGAGAGAGAGTTTAGTAACAAAATAAATAGAAGAGAAAATAGAAGACATTCTTGAATGGGTTTTTCAGACAAGAGTCTTTAACTAGAAGTTATAAAGAGCTTTAGAAGCTACTGAAAAAATGGTTCTATACTGTTTCATTAAAAGAAACACTAGTTTTTTCCCAGTAGTTGCAATATCAGCTCTGTCAGTTGTATCTTCTGTCAGGAGGAGGTCTATATAAGTATTCTGCCAAAACCAACTGTTAGTCTGACTACTTAAAATCTGTCCACATGGACACAATGGACAAAATTACCTTCCTGACACGAAGAAGGGCACAATGTCCAGTCGCTGAATGGAGTCACAATACAATCCCTTCTACAAGGAAGCAAACAAGGCCTCACTGTTTCTGGTCGGAGGTTTTCAGGGCATCTGAAAAAAAAAAAAAAAAAAAAAAAGATACATTATCAGATAAATGGTAGTTCTGCAGTGAAGTGATGAATCACAAGAGATAGTTGGATGCCTGCAGGCACACAAGGAGAGAGATAGTTGCCCAGAACTCACCAGGATAGAGTTCAGAAACAAAACCTGTTATAAATTAAATACATCTGGTGGAAGCAAGTCAAAAACAGCACATTCTACACCTAGAGACTGAAATTAAAAAAAAAAAAAAACCCTCAGCAATATCATTCTTCTCTCATCATTCCAAACTTCTGCATTTTGAGTGCTATTTTCCAGATTCTAAATTATTGTAAGGAAAAGCCATCTTGCTTAGCTTAGCAAAATAAATATATAGCTCTTCATAAATTCACCAGAATTTTGTAAGGAGACATACCTGACATTAGCACCATTGTAAGCTCACATTTAGGTATAAGCTGACCATGGTGCTATGACAGAAGCTAGAAAGGGTTTGAAACAGGTCTGATCAATGAGACTGTGAAAGACTGTCAGAAGAAACGGGAAATCTTGCTTGCTTTAAAAAGAGGCTTGATCAGGATATAAAAGGTATTATTAAACTGCCACATATGGGGCTCATTAACCCAGGTCATTTCCTGGGTTCAATGTTCCCATTCTTTCATTAAGAGGAATCAACACTCTACACTGTGTTATGTCTTCAGAAAGATGCAATAGCTTTTGCAGAAGTACTGCAAATCTTTAAAATAATTTCAAAATGGGTATTGCCCTAAAAGCACACAGTGCAGACTGTCAGAAGATTGCATAAAGATGTACAAAAAACATCACTTCTACTTTTTGAAGCTTTTGGCTCATTAGAAAAAACACGTAACTATCATTTTCCTCTTATTGGCTGGCAGGCATTTTGGACCAGAGAGATAAGATACTAATTCTGTATTAGATTGAATCAGCTTGGAATGGTTAGCTAGCATGAGGCATCTTTTTTGCCAGGCTGGAGGGAATGCTGGCAAGTCAAATGAAAAACTGTGAAGAAAATCTGGCCTCTGTTGCCGTATAGAATCACACCTGTGTCAGCAGGGGAAGAAGAATAGGGGAAAGGAGAAGGAAATGGTTGTTGCCACTTCACAGGAAAATGGTCTTTGGCAATAACATTTGCTAGTTGTCTGTCTCTGAGTAATTCATTTTCCATTCTTAAAATATGATGATTTATTGCAAACCAGCACCAACTTCTTGGCTGTAATAAGGCCCTCTTATAACGACATCTCCATTCTTCCTTCCTTGTCTCCTAAAATTCCAGCATGAAGGATCATCACCTCTTCATAAACTCTGCCTATTTAAGTTAAATTTTGCCTTTTTGTTTGCATGAAATTCATAAAACCAGATGATGTATGTGTGACTGTATTATATATAATCAAAATGATCTGTCAGCAGTTACATACAAGTACATTTTGAGGGTTGAAATTCAAAATGATTCTGAAGAGGTTACTAATAACTTTTTGCTTAAGGAACAACAGAAATTACAACCATATAGAAAAATTTGCATTATATACATTCATTGTTTCACTTACAACTTCATCTTTCAGAAAAAAAAAGTCATTTCTCTTCAGATCCTTGGGCAAGGCAATTAGTTCAATTAGAACATCATTTCTATCTTTTATATTGTTTGTATTTTCTATATGTGGCTTACAGCAACGTATTGATTTTTTTGGCATTTCTTACTCAAGGTCAAATTAGACAGAATAGATACAAGCTGAAGTCCGTAACTTGTGAGGTAGATAAAGTGAATAATATTGATTCTATCATACCACAGTAATCTTTTTTATTAAGGGGAGTTTAAAGCAAGGTTCCTATTTACATTTTCATGTAAAATGTCTGGTTCTTTTAAAAATGATTTGGTGATTTTAATGTGATAATCTGAAGGATAAACCAAGATTTTTTTTCCTCATTTCACTTGCTTCATTTATGAAATAAAACAGTCCTCCTCTCAAAAATCTAAGGTCAGGCTAAAGGCAGAGATGGTAACATTTAAAAAAGGAAGATAAATCATTAGAGTTTTTTTAATAAAAGATATAATGATATTATGACTGAATAGAACACAACTTAATGCAGGTATATAACAATTTAGGTTATTGAATGGACTGGTATTATTTTCCATATTTCCATTTAAAGTAGATTATAGATTAAATAAGTCCACTTCTGAATAACACAAGGAATGGCTGGCACTGTGCAAGTATTTTGTGTGAGAACAGCTGTTTCATGAACTTTCTAAAAGACCTCTGCTCTCAGCTCTTCCAGCCCTAAATCTCTCCTGAGTAGGATCTATTTTCAGACTGCCAAACTGCATGGAGATATCATCAAATGTATTTAACTAGCAGCTAATCTGTACTTAACCCTGGTCATAAATAATGCTGAGAAATTAAACCACTGGGCTAAAGCAATCTCTTAGAAAAAAAAAATATATATGTGGAAAATATCTGAAAGGAAAGAAGTCAAACTAATCTTGTGTCAGAGCTTTACTGTGCTTGACCTCAGTTTGCTTCTGAACTCGCTATTCAGTAGGTTATACTGTAATTAGACCCCCCATGCTTATGTAGGGAACTACTCTAATCCTCATAGCACACTGCTTGTTTTGAACTACCTGAACTATCTCCAAATTGTGCTATACTGCTTACACACCACAAACACACCTCAGGACTTTCATCCTGATTCAGCCTGATGATGGTAAGCAGCCAACTGGGTTATGCAGTCAGATGTCAACACAGTCACTACTCTAAATATCACCCATAAAAATCAATAGTGCGAAAAGTACTTTGCAGACCTTCAATAGCTTTAGCTTTGTATTTTTAAAATATAAATTGTTCCTTTGTAAGAGCACAAAGATTGAGAGGGGCATTTGTCTTCACATGCACTCAATGCACACATCTAGACCAGCAAAATCCAAACTAAAGTATGAAAGGATAAGTTTTTAAGATCTTTACTTTTTTGGGCCCACTTGTCCCACGTTGACCCTCACACAGATGACTTTTCTTGTCTGCATCCCCACAGAACAGGTGGCCTCCCCATTCCAGCTGGCAGAGGAGTTGAAAGCAGACACAGATGCATCCTCTATGCATTGTCCCCATGGGCCTGTCTGCCAATGATACACAGTGCAAGAGTGTTCGTTACAGCTGCGTGTTTCCTGTAGTGCACTACTATTTGGACACTGTACTCCTCCTGGAACAATAAAACAGGGCATAAGTTCATGTAATGAAGAAGAAAAAAAAAAAAAAAAAAAAAAGTAAAGTGATTTATTAAGACAAACAAATAAACGAAAATTTATGAAATCTCATCATTTCAATCACATGAATTAAGTGTTGTCCTTTCTTCCTCATCTTCATATGCCCAATATTCACTCTGGCAAACTTAAGTTCGTAGACCACACAGAAAAAACATACTTGGACAGTAAATGTAAATTCATATTATGAGGATGATAAAATAATCATAAATCATATGACACACTATTTTACCTAATATCTTTGGGTTACTCTACAGCATTTTTATTTCGTGGTTCCCTAAAAGACATTGTAAGAGAGAACGCAGGAAGGCTCTAGGCAGAAGAAATGGTTAAATGTGCTAGTTATATATGTCTAGAGACCACTGCTTATGTCTAATTCATGGATCAATTAAAAAGATTTTTGGAGCTCTTGTCCTAGTTCCCAGTGGATATTCATCCATGTTACGTAATTACCAAAGTGGATGACACAGCTGGCAATTTCTGGTCCAGACTGAGATAACAAAGGCTGTTGCAGGTTAAGATTAAAATGCATTCATGTGTTCATAATTGTGAAGAAAAGCTCAGATAATGTTACCTTTGTTGCACCCAATTTCAGATGTGTTCAGTTTCTTACATTCAAAAAACTGAAAGCTAATTTAGCCTCCCAATCCTGGATAAGTCAAGAAGAGGTCTTTCTTACCAGTCTTGATCTAGGATACTAGATAGGTGCTAGGATATCTAGCACTGTGAGTACAGATCATGTTTGCTAGATCTCTGGTGCTACTACACACACAGAAACTAGGTTTGCGAATTTACTTAAGCATTCAAGAACAACAGGACTCCTATTCCCAGATGATGGAAAACCAAGGAAAATCTACTTAAAAACTTCTTCCCTAAAGGACAAGAACAGTCTTTTAGAAAGGAAAGTTAACTGAAAGAGGAGATTTTTATAAGCTGCTGGGGATGAAATACACGTTTATTTTCTTTGAGGAGAAAAACACATGCTCACACCAAGCACATGTCAGGAAGCACATTAGCTTTTATGTCCTACCACAGAAATTTAGGTTGCCTTACAGACATGCAAGAGGGAATGGGTTTTAAGCACTTATCACTGGGAGTGATTAAACGACTAAATAGGTATGACACAAGAAACAACTGCTTCAAGTACTCCAACACCACTATCACAAGAGGTGAAAATGCTTTATACTCTAAGTTACTTTTGTGGAACTTTTAGTTTTGCAGCAAACGTGCTGGGATATTTTCCATGGGGATATTTTAAATGTCTAAATTAAGGCTGAAAAACAGTAATGTAACCAAGAAACTGTAAATACCACATTATTTGAGAAGTCATAAAAATGACTATTAATAAGTTTTGTAAAAGGGGATTAGAAACACCTTACAACTTATGAATGTGACTAAAAAAACAACTAAAATTAAATTGGTTTTGACTCAAAATGGATGTTACTCATGTCTATCAGAATTGCTTTAAGTATATTTTAATACACGTAATACCAAGAAAATATCCTGTTATTTAAATTTGGCCAAAAAAGGTAAATAAAAAAAGAAAGGGTAAAACAAAATTAACATTACATAGAAAGTTCCAAAAAGTCATTGAAGTAGCTTCCTTCAGGAAATAAGTACCCTTCCAATTATCACCAGCACAAACAAGATACAAGAGCAAGGAAATTAGGAAACGGAGTATATTTTGAGATAAACAAGATAGTACAGTCTTTTTTTTTGCATAGGAGAAAAGACTGATCCACAGAAGAAGGAGAATAAGCATGTTTCTCTAGTAGGAGTAAAGAAACAAGAATATAGAATATAGAAGTATATAGAATATAGAAGAATATAGAAGAATATAGATTTTTTTTTTTAAAAGTTGCTAAACTGTTTACTGACATCCAATGCTACCTCAGAAGAAACACATGGGAAATTCATAAATTCAAGACTATTTGTTAAATTAAAAGTTTACAGGTGGGCAAGAAGTGTTTCTTCAGGAATGGATTCCATAATCACCAGTTCCTAAGAACATAAATTGAAAACTTAGAATCAATTTTGACAGCTACGCAAAACAGTATATTCAGGCAAAAAAAAAGAGTGATGCTGACTTGCAAGTAAATAGAAAACTGGAGTGTGAATGTCTGTAGCTCAGTGGGAATCCTATTCCATTCAAATAAAAATAATACTGAAAAAAAACTGTAACGAATGAACAAAATGTGGAAATACAATTGCTGAAAGATGATACAATTATCAGCAGTATTAAATATTACTAATACCAAAAACATAGTATTTAATTATGAATAAGTGTGTCGTTCTCTCCAGAAATACAGCATTTCCTTGTGCACCCTCAAATTAAGTACACTAAAAGAAGAATAGCTTGGAAAACTGGCACTTAGAAATATCCTTTATAACATCTGCATAGGAGTAAGAAGATCAGTGCTACTCAGCTTCAAGAATCAAATGAAGACAGGTTTAATAGGAATATAAAAAACAATGAATATTGCAGGGAAAAAATGGTTATGAGAAAAAGGGACAAGTGACACTAAATACATTTTATATAAATAAATAAATAGACTGTAAACTACTCCTTTGCAGTATTAAAAACAATCATTTTAAGGTATAAAAAACAGTTGGATTTCAAGTATTTCTTTTTGTATTTGAATACTTTGGAAAAGTACATTTGGAAATGAAAGGCTAGTTTCAGAGTTTTACTTATAAAATAGTACAGTTAAGATGGTAGCTTCTTGGAATGCTTTAAAAGACTTGTCACAGGCATAGCTTGCTTTTCTGCCTGATTTAAAGCTCATCATGGGAAAGACATGTTGCTCCAGAGTATTCAAGGATTGGTTTTTATAATCCAGTGTGAAACTGTCTTGATAACTTATAAATTTTAAAATGTCTAACACTTTTCAAAGCATTTAAGGATCATTCTTATTAATCATTTTGCTATCACTCATTTTACAAATGCATGTCATTGAATACGTGCATTTCAAAACAGCTAGAATAAAAGTTTTCTCAAAGTTTGAGAAAAGAGATGTGAATGACATTTCTCTTGTAATTTAGAGAGTGATTTTTTTGCCATAGGAATAAGGTAGGCGCTCCTTGAAGTAGTAACGCTTCTTGAAGACTGATGTGGTCAGCGTGTGCAGACTACTTCTGTATAAAAAGTTGATGTTGCTACATAACACTTGTTCCAGTCCTGCAGTAATTCACACTTTCTTGCATGTCACATATTAAACATGCAAATCAAGATAAACTTGAAGAACAACTCTGAGAGACCTCTCCTCTAATTCATAACAGGACAGAAGTTTGGGTGCATCTATGGAAGACAAGAAGTTTGTCGTCAAGTCTTTCCTTGCATATGATTTGAATCCCAAATCTCCAACACGAGGCAGGAATATTACCTGGGTAATATTCTGAGTAAAAGGAAGCACAGTAATATCCTTTCCCTAGCTTTCCTTCACACACAGGTATCAAGTGACTTTGCAAGTCTAGCTTGACAAATCACCCATTTCTAAAATTACGTATTTAATGTGTTCACGTTTCAGTTGAAATCAGTTAAAACTCAAAATATCCTTGGTTTATCCAAAACTGATTCTTGGATGAATAGGGAATTTTTAGAAAAATAATTACTGAATTCTCTGTTTCCAGATTTAAATTAAAAATGCTGTTATTTCAAGACAAATACAAAAACGAAAAACAAATCCAATAAGTTCAAGAAGAATAAACAACTTCAAAAGCCCTAAGTATAACTTCTTTTACAGCCATGAAGTTAAATCACACTGGAATTTTATCAGTAATAAAATTTTAAAGCATGTCAATCAGAATTTGCCTAGAGTTGAGAAGAAACTCCTTTGACCCAGCTATTCCTTACAGGTTCAGTAAATCAATCTTGTAGATATATGAAATGTATGAGCTACTGGCCTATCAGACAGAATACCTGATTAGATATATGACTGACATTTTATGCTACCTAACTCAGAGATGCATAATAGTCTGTGACATATGAGGTCATCCTGAGTAGCCTTTTTGGCATTATACTCGGGCAATATATGAACATATAATAGCCACAGTAAGACAATGGCATGCAGGCTGTAACATGCAGGGCACACATACAACTGCTTTAAGAACGTTTCAAACAAAAACAGAATTAAGAACAATTCTACTGCATTCAGATTTTTAGATTTTTATTCATTGCTTTTGATTTTTTTAATGTTTACTTTTCCAAAAGTTTTGTATTTTTACTACTGATAAAAACTTGGAATGCATCCACATTCATTTTATGCTAATTCAATATACAATCAATGTAGATTTCAATATAGAACATTCAACATGTTCTATATTGAACAAACGTAAGTTAGTCAGCACAACTAACCTTTCCAAAAAAATTTAGAACCCTTTTAGTAGTTTTTAGTCTGAGGACATGGCTTGCACAAATTAGTTATAGTGCATATTACTAATTATATAATACTTTCTGTAACAAGAAAAGAAAAAAAAAAAACATAAGTAGAAAGCTGAACAAAAGTAGATAGACACTATATTTGAACAAGATAGGCTAAGATGTATACGATACCATTACTAGAGTACATATGCAGAACAATGTGATGTACCAGGTAACGTCATGTCCTTTGCTATTTTAAATTTGGAGACAAGGATTTCCCTGAGTTTCTTATCCTGCCATGAAGATGTAGAAGGGCTGCTCTAGAAGTAATGGCTCTGCTTTATTTCATTGGTCCACACTGTCAGAGTTGGATGTTGGTGGTGTGGCAATAGAGGCCAAATCTTCCCACCAATATTCCATTACATGTTGTTGCTGTGTGGCAGACAGCAGCACAGAAGCAGTCTGACAGAATGGTGTCTGACATGGAAGTGTGAATGAAGCAAAGGTAAGGAATTGAATTCCTCCTTGTGGAAAAAACGGCACCCACTGACATTCTCCAGTGATTGTTAAATGTTTATG